TCTTGCCGTATGTTCTCTCGCTCGAACATTGCTCCGAAATCTGGGACACCATTACCCGCCGCCTTCAGTCATCCACTCGATCAAGAACCATTCAACTTCGCAACGAACTTCATCATGTCTCAATGAACACGCAAACCATGTCCCAATACTTGTTAACCATCAAATCTCTTGTTGACGCTATTGCCGCCACAGGCTCCCCGCTCGATCCCGAAGAAGTTATATTTTATACACTCAACGGCCTCCCGCCCAAATTCCAGGCATTCAAAACTGCCATCCGCACAAATCTGCAACCTATAAGCCTCGACGACTTGTACACTCTCCTCTGCAGCGAGGAGCTGAACCTCGTCCAAGAAGCATCCAAGGATCTCCAGAATCTTCAATTAACCGATCCTTCAACTGCCCTATCCACCTACCGTGGCAATGCTCGCGGTCGTCCTAATACCAAAAGCCTCCCGACGAACACAGGACGAATCCCTCGCACTCGCTCGGACAAACCAAACCAACGATCGGTAACTTGCCAAATCTGTTCTAAACCGGGACATTCAGCTCTCAAATGCTGGCACCGCCACGACCCGTCATACTCTGAAGACAACTCCAAAACTGCTCTTTATGCTCCAGCCGACTCCAACAGCTCTAACGATTGGTTTCTTGACTCCGGCGCCACGAGCCATCTTACTGTCGATCCATCCCAGATCACCTCGATGAAACCATACAATGGCAGCCAGCAAATTACCCTCGGAAACGGCAACCAAATCCCGATACACAACTCAGGTAAAGGCATCCTACCCACCCCGTCAGGTAATCTTCATCTTCAACACCTTCTTCATGTACCAAATTTATCTTTTAATCTCATCTCCATTCACCGGCTTACCAAGGACAATAACTGTATTGTCCAATTTTCGGCTAACGGTTTCAAAATTCAGGACTCGAAGACGGGTCGTTTACTTCTCACGGGTCGTTGTCTTGATGGTCTTTATCCCATACGCTCTACTTCTTGCAACTCTCAGTTAGCCCTTGTTTCCGCTCAAGATGTTCCCAATCTCTGGCACAAACGGCTCGGCCACCCTGCATCCACTGTCGTGCATCATTTACATAGATATATTCCCTCTCTTTGTAATAAAAACAATACACACTGTAATTCTTGCAAGATAGCTAAAATTCACCGTTTACCGTTTGCTCGCTCAACTACTCGTTCTTTGCAACCGTTTGATTTAGTTCACTCCGATTTATGGGGACCTTCCCCCACTATTTCTGCTCAAGGTTTTAAATATTACATTTCGTTTATCGACGATTTTTCTAAATTTTGTTGGGTTTATCCAATTAGAAATAAATCTGATGCTTTCTTTAAATTCACTGAATTCAACAATATGATTTCTCGTCAATATAATGCAAAGCTCAAAATCTTCCGCTCCGACGGAGGAGGAGAATTTGTCAACGGTAAGTTTCAAACTTTGTTCCGGCAGCTCGGCATCCAACACCAATACACCTGCGCTCATACACCATCTCAAAATGGGGTAGCCGAACGTAAACACAAACACATTATTGAAACCGTTCGCAGCTTGTTGGTCGAAGCCAATCTCCCGCACTCGCTTTGGGTCGAAGCTCTTCTTGCTTCAGTTTACCTAATTAACCGCTGTCCAAGCCGCTCTCTCAACAACATTAGCCCCTATCACATCCTTCACAAGAAACCAGCCAAATATGACCACCTCAAGATTTTCGGCTGTTTATGTTATCC